CACAACCTCAAAGGATTAATCTCACCTTTTAGTTGAGATTTAAAATGAGTGATTGTGAGTGATATGAGATTTGAGGGTCCACCTCAAATGTATGTATTGAATAAAGTTTTGGAATAAAAAAACGATGGATTCTCCAGAATACATGAATTCAAAGAATCATAACTTTCAAACGAGCCCTAAAATCACCAAACATTTCTCGATGGAATCATTAATCCTCAATCGGTAACATTTAGAAAATCGATTGACCTATATTGACTAGAACTTTATGCATGTGGTATTTCAATTGTAAAAACTCTAAATTTGAATTATTGAACTAATTAATGTCAGTAACTATACTTACAATTTACCTATATCATATATCTTTCTGTTCTACTCGGAGCTCTATCTGCAGGATGAACTACAGTATACTGATCATATGCCGAAAGGGAAGTTTCCTCAACTCAGCCACTCAGATCTCAGCCAGCTTCTTCGGCCTTTTACTATTATGGATGTTCATAATGCGGTTTTTGACATGAAGCCTTATCAAGCTCCCGGTCCCGATGGTTTTCAGGCGGTTTTCTACCAGCAAGCCTGGAAAACGGTCGGGAAGGCTCTGACTGACATGGCTATCTCTTTTTTTGAAGGAAGAGACTTACCGGATGAGGTCTTTGCTTCCACGGTGGTGCTGATCCCCAAGGTCGACAAACCGGAGGTTGTAGGGCAGCTTCGCCCGATCTCCCTCAATAATGTCAACCTCAAGGTCATCACTAAAGCCATGACGAGCCGGCTGAAGTCAGTCATGAATGTGTTGGTGTCTCCGAGGCAGAGCAGCTTTATTCCTGGACGGCAGACTACTGACAATATTATAGTGGTCCAGGAGTTCCTTCACTCTATGCGGAAGCGGCGTGGAAAGAAGGGAGGACTTGTGATGAAGATTGATCTAGAGAAGGCGTATGATAGGCTTCGATGGGACTTCCTTCGAGATACTCTCGTTGAGGTCGGTTTGCCTAGTTCGTGGATCAGGTGCATCATGTACTGCGTGGAGAAGAATGCTATGCGCATCCTCTGGAATGGAGAACTCCTGCAACCCATCACTCCTTCTCGAGGAGTCCGCCAGGGAGATCCGCTTTCACCCTATCTTTTTGTGTTATGTATGGAACGGCTATCCCATAGGATAGACCGGGCGGTGCAGGATAAGCAGTGGAAGCCGGTCAAACTCTCTCCAGGAGGTCCGGCGCTAACCCATCTTTTTTTTGCAGATGACCTTGTCCTTTTTGCGGAAGCGGAGAGTTCACAAGTTCGGATCATCAGGCAATGCTTGGACGAGTTCTGTACTAGCTCCGGCCAACGAGTGAACTTCAACAAATCGCTCCTCTATGTCTCCCCGAACATCGGTCATGATAGAGCTCAGCGGCTTAGCGATAGAGCAGCTATTCCTCTGACTAGAAACCTCGGGCGGTATCTTGGAGTGCAGGCTATCCATGGGAGAATTACCAGGAGTAGATATCAACCTCTTCTTTTGCAGATTCAAAAGAAGCTCGCTCCCTGGAAAGCTAAGCGTCTTTCCCTGGCCGCAAGGCTGACTGTGGCTCAGTCTGTCTCTCTTTCAATTCCCACTTACTCTATGCAGACTGAGCTGATTCCCATGAATGTTTGTAAATCTATTGATAAGATTAACAGAGATTTCATCTGGGGGGAGAGCGAGCAACAAGGTAGAATGCATCTGGTGGCCTGGGAGAAGCTTTCCGAGCCCAAAAGCCAAGGTGGAGCAGGCCTCCGGCCCCTGCGTCAGGCGAATCTGGCTCTTCTAGCCAAGGCGGGTTGGCGCTTGCTGCAAGAGAAGGACACTCTTTGGACTCAGCTCGTTCGGACGAAGTACGGGCGTCAGAGGGAAGGGCTCGATATTCTTCGGCCAAGTCAGGGAAGTTCCTTTGCCTGGCGTAGCTTCACCAAAGCTTCTGACTTGCTTCGGCAAGGCTGTGCGTGGAATATTCATAACGGGAATGATACTAAATTTTGGTGTGATGTTTGGTTGTCGCAGGTTCCGCTGATGGAGCTGGCGCTTGCGCCAGTGCCGGAAGAGATGCTGGCCGAACCAGTGGCAGCCTACCTGGAGGAGGACGGGAGCTGGGACTTGGATCGATTGCACAGCTGGCTTCCTTCGGAGATTCTGCATAAGCTCACCGCAGTGGCAGTGGATCCCGACAGTACCGAGAAGGACACCTTGTTTTGGACAGGCTCCTCCAACGGTGTTTTCACCACGAAGTCGGCCTATCTCTTGGCGAACCCTCCTCAAAATGACCCCCGTCAAAAGCTTTGGAAGAAGATTTGGAGTCTCCCTGTGCCGGAGCGGATCCGAGTTTTTGCGTGGTTGGTGGCGCTGGGCAAGATAGCGACCAACCAGCTGCGTATGGCGAGGAAGTGTGCTACGTCGGCTGACTGCTACCGCTGCCCTGGGACGCCAGAGTCTGTTAGCCATGTTCTCCGGGATTGTTCGATGGCGATGTTCTTCTGGAGCAAGCTCGTTCCTGCGGTTGATCAACAGGAGTTCTTCTCCTCTTCCACGGGGGCCTGGCTCAACAAGAACCTTCTCAAAGAGGATGTTTTGGCGTCCGGAATGAGCTGGAATGCCCTTTTCAGCGTGGCGATCTGGTTACTGTGGAAGAACAGATGTTTGGGATGCTTCAAGGGAGTCTCTGCAACTCTTTCCGCCCCCTCCCTAGCGCACTCAATCTTTCACAAAGCGGATCTGTGGCACAATGCTTGGTGTGCACCCACGCTTGCCCCTGGTAAGCCTCATCGCGATATTACTCGAAGAGTGGAGCGGATTCAGTGGCTAGCCCCGCCTCAAGGGTGGCTGAAACTGAACGTGGACGAGGCCTCGGCAGGTAACCCCGGTGCGGCAGGAGTTGGAGGGTTGATTCGCGATGAGCACGGTAAGTGGATAACGGGCTTTGTGGCCAGGATTGGGGAGTCTTCGGCGGTGTTGGCTGAGTTATGGGCTATTTTCCACGGCCTTAATATAGCGTGGCGGCACAGGTGTGTTAACTTGATTGTTGAGTCTGACTCGCAGCAGGCTATTCAGTTGATTAAGGATCGCCAGGACCCTATTCACCCTCACGCTGCTTTGCTGAATTCGATCCGGCGACGTATTGAGCAGGATTGGTTGATTAACATTGTTCACACATACCGGGAAGGGAATAGAGCCGCGGACTGGCTCTCGAAGCACAGTCTCGTCTATCCCTACGGTATGCATGAACTTGTTAGTCCTCCTTCCGAGCTTGATAGAGTGATTCAGGAGGATAGCCAGGGAATGTCTTTTGAGCGCCGAGTTGTGGTGCCCCCCGAGTTGTAATACCTCTTTTGTTTCTCTCCTCCCCCTGTTGTCTTCTTTGTCTTGGCGTTAGCCTCCTTTAATGCAAAAAAAAAAAAAAAAAATATGTTACTATATGTCATTAGCTAGTAGGGGTGTCAATCGGTCGGTTTAACCAAAAATCGATTTCTCGGTTATCAGTTAAACCGAGCCACCACCTCCCACTGTCGACCACCGACCGTGAGGGACACAACGGCTAGCCGACCACCGACCAGTCGGTTATCGATTTTGGTTCGGTTATCTGCATACCCGAAAAACAATCCCTTCTCTCCAAAAAACTTATTAAAAATTATTATTAAAAAAACAAGCGTGAATCCCCCTACCACTAAATCATGATCTCATTCCTCCTTCTCTCTCCTTTCTTCCTCCAAAAAAACCCCACCAGACCACTTCTTTCTTCTCTCTCCTTCATTCCTCCATTTCAAACCCACCACACAAGACCACTCCTTCCTTCCTCCATTTCAGATTTAGACAGCACGAAGGAGAAGCAGAGGCACAACGACGACCATGTAGGAGAAGCAGGGGCGGATGTCGGGGCAGGGCCGGGAGGTGAGCGGAGGGAGCGGCGACATCCCCGGCACAGGACAGGCGAAAATGGGGAGGCAGATGGATGGATAGATCTGCAGGGGGCGGGTGTGGGGGGCCTTGGATCGCCGCCTGCTCTGTCTGTTGGCTCGACGGAGGAAGGAGGGGATGGCGATGGGAGACGCGCAGAGCCTGGGGTCGTCGGAGATGGGAGATGGCGATATCGGAGCGTAAGAAGAATAAAGAATTAGAGAGATGGGTAGATGGCGATGGAAGAAGAAGAAAAAATAATTTTAGGGAAGGGCGTTTGGATTAGGGCTGGCTATTTGGTCCGAACTGTTTGGTTTTACCCCAAACCGGACCGTATAACCCGGACCGGGACCGGATATCAAACAATCCAATCTCATATTCGGGTTTAGATTTGAGGTAAAAAAATCAGGATAAGAGACCCCCAACACCTAAAATCAAAATCAAATTGGGACCGGACCGAGTAAAGACCGGACCGGATCAAGACCGGACTGTATCCAATCTAATCTTTGGTCATTATATTCCCGAAAAAATTGGACTCAGACCGGATCAATTTGGTCCAATTTAACCGGACCGTATAGCCACCTCTAGTTTGGATGGCTGGCTAGGCTAGGCTTTGAAGGAGGACGGAGAAGAAAGAATCAAGGAGAAGGCAAGATGACTGGGCTGGGCTTTGGATGGCTGAGCTGGCTTTGAGTGACTGGTCGGTTATTTTGGATTAGTCGGGTAACTGCGATTAATCATCCTCGATTACTCGACTAGCCGAAAACCACCTTTCTTCCACCGACCACCAACCGTGGTAAATAATCGTTGATTTTCGATGCAACCGACCGGTTAGCCGCTAACCGGAAACCTAACTGCCACCCCTATTATCTAGCCACGAAATTTCTGCATTCTGCAAGTGGGACAACTATTATTGGATGGCGGCTCACCTTCCCTCCATTATTCTAGCTTAGCTTTCATGGAGCCCGATCGAACGTCCACCGTTCATCGATCTCTGATGTGGGGCACTTCTTATCCATTATTCCTCAACCATATCTCTTTATATCAATAAACCAAATTGCCTCATCTCTACCCGCAACCACTCCACTCCACGATGACGTCGTCATCGCCGCACAACATTACGTGGACAACAACCACCGTCGCCGTCGCCGTGCTGCTGCTATTGATCATCACCGGCAGCAGCGGGTTCAGTACTCCTCCGGCGCGCTACAATAATATCAGCAGCAGCAGCAGCTTGGCGGCGGGGCGGAGGAGGGCCGGAGGGTGGAAGATGAAGTGGAGATGGTGGTGATGGATTCCGAGACCCACCGGCGGATGCTCGTCAATTCGATAAGCTACGACGGAGTCAAGCTGCCGTCGAAACCGGCGACCAACTGTGGAAGAAACGACTACTACTGTTTGGATAAGATCCGGAAGCGGAAGCTCTACTGTGATCACCACAGCCGCGAACCGGCGTGCCACGCCTGATCTCTTTAATCGGGAATTACTACGTTATCTTTATATGGTTGTCGTCGCCCGGTCGCCGTCGCCGGCGGGACCAGATTTCGGTTCGGGTTTTCATGGTTTAATTGTAATTCATGGGTAGTTTTACTCTTCCTATCCATTAATCTATCCATACTGCAATTTGGGTAGAAATCAAAATAATGTTATGTTGAATAGTGAGAAAATCATACATTTTCACCAGCAAAGTGTTTACTAGATTTATCATTTCTTTTCCCATTTTTTTTTTATGTTTGGTCACTGATCGTTAACTTCCATTAGATTCGGTTAATATCATTAGTGATTGGGGCGAGTCAGTGTTATTTCGACAAACATCATTCGGTTAACGTAACTCGTGAATTCAGTGAACAAACGTATTATTTCGATACACGTTTTACTGTATCTACAAAAAGGTTGTCCGATTTGTGCCGGCTTGACAAGTGGTATGGTCCAAACGGCGGTACAACCGGTTTTATGCCGATTTTAGGAAAGTGAACTCATTAACACTAAATAAATGACTTTAGGGATATGCATAACATATTTGAAGACAATGTCTCTAAAATCCACATCCATATTTAGATCAAATATAACATTTCTAACGAAATAAAAAAATATCATATTTCAATACAATATTTAGCACCGACATCCAAAAATTTATCCGCAATATTCATACTTGAATCCAACAAATACCGTCAACATTTAGTTAAATGGAACGTGCTATGCTATGTTTCATTTCAATTTTCAGCATCCATCTATGTCGCTTGTCGCATGGCGGTGGCAGTGAGGGAGCTCAATTGGTGGAGGGGAAGGTCACTCAGTTCAGTAAAAGGACAAGCGAGAAATCCCAAAAAGGTACAGAAGAAAAGTCGAGCCGTCGGAGATTCTCCTCGGAAGTAGCGAAGCTGTGAAGGGAAGCAGCTTTTCCCACCACCGTCTCCGCTACACCAAACAAAGCGAGCAGCTAGAATCCACCGCCGCCCCGGCGCCGCCGCCTGCCGAAGGATGCGGATCGTCGATTCAGCCGCCATCATCGTCGCTGTCCGAGTCTCCTATGGTCGCTCGTTAGTTACCAATCCATCCCTCCGTTGTTGAGAGGATAATAACAAACAGGGAAGTAGGTCAAACATCGAAGAAGAACTGCAGCAGGGATTGGATTGGAGGGGAAATAAGGATTTCGATGGGGTGCTTTCACTCCAAAACCTTCCATCTGCTGTCTCCTGATAGTAAGCAGCAGGAACCGCTCCCACTTCCAGAAGACCCGAAGCAACTCGCTACTAATCCCGATCCGTCAATCACCGGCGATCAACTTGACATCCCAGTATTCCGCGAGTTCCCTCTCAACGAGCTTCGTGCTGCCGCCAATGGGTTCAGCTCCGAATTCATTGTCTCTGAGAGCGGTGAAAAGGCTCCCAATGTTGTGTACCGAGGCAAGCTGAAAGACAATCGCCTTGTTGCAATCAAGCGCTTCTCCAACCTTTCCTGGCCAGATCCCCAGCAGTTCCTGGTAATGAACATGAATCATGGGTTTCAATCACTTCCTTGATTTGGCCCTTTTTTTCACCTCTCTGCATTTACTGAAGTCTTCATAGCTGACAAAATGTAACAGAGTGAAGCTTCTATGGTTGGGAAAGTACGGCATAAGAGACTGGTTAACTTAATCGGGTGTTGTGCTGAGGGTGATGAACGTTTGCTCGTTGCTGAGTACATGCCTAATGATACCCTTTCCAAGCATCTCTTCCATTGTATGTATACTGAGCTTAACATGGATGAGGATTCGAGAACCATGGGCTTGTTTTTCTCTGTGCCCCTTTTTCTGTCTTTTTCAACACACATCTCTAACCCGTTGTTCTCTTTTTGTTCTTTTCCCCACACCCTTTTGCTTTAGGGGAAAAACAGCCATTGCCCTGGGAAATGCGTGTCAGAATTGCCTACTACATTGCTCAAGTGCTAGATCATTGTGACACTCAGGACCGCAAAATCTACCACGATTTGAATGCCTACAGAGTTCTTTTTGATGAGGTGCTTGCGATATTCTTTGCATGCCTTGTGATAATAGTGATGTTTTCTGCTGCTGCTTTGAAGATTCTGGCAATTCGACTTCAAAGTTGCCCACTTTTCTTGTCCATCCTGCTTCTTTCTATGCTTCTTTAAGTTGCCTTTTTGTTTTTCTGATGTGGAGTATGTAGATTACATAGTGTTAAAGTTTGATGTGGTATGACCCACCTGCTCTTGTGTTGCATTTTGAAACTTCCTTTTAACATTGCAGGAAGGTGATCCTCGGTTGTCTAGTTTTGGCCTCATGAAAAATAGCAGAGATGGGAAGAGTTACAGCACAAACTTGGCTTATACCCCGCCTGAATTTTTGAGGACAGGTAGAAAAAATACTGAGTTGAGGCGGCAATATATGTCAATTATAAGTTTTGGTTACTTGTACGTTCTCTTAGTGCAAAGTCATTCGTCAGTCACTATAACCTTCTACTAGGCCTGGGGTGCAATCAGTTACTCCAAGCATTTATAAAGATGCAAGGGCAGAAAGCAATTTGAGGCTCCCCAATCTTTTCTCCATCATTAACGTTCGTGTCTTGAATTTCTTTTCGTGTTTCACTAGACGTTATCTACATGTAAAACTCAATGATTCTCTAATCCATACGATGAACTGCTTTGACTGAGGATGTTTCTTAGCGAGTCTGAGGAATCCGTTTAAAAATCGCGGTTATCCTTCAAGGCATTAATGACCAAGCAAGTGAAACAAATGCCTAACCAGAAAGGTCTAGTTGATCTTTTTGGTCGTTATTTGTTCCGCCTCATCTACTTTCATCTTTTCTTAAGTGCAAATATTTTACTGAAAGTTCCTGGTCAGGCATACACCGAGGGTTTTTTGGGTGAATTTCAATGGAGAATTAACTGTACATGCATTGGACTACGTTGATTTGTCAACTATCTTAGCCAACAATAAGGAAAATGAATTAAAGAATGGTCCCCCATGGTAAATTTTTTAGGTCTAGTCTCACTCACCGATACTCTTGTCCACTCTCTCTATGAAGAGAGCAATTGACTCGTAAAAGAGAAACCTTATCGTTATAAATCTACTGCAGAGCTGCTATTGTAATTGGATAGCTAATATATTTCTATTATATGATGCAAACTTTTCAACTTATCAAGTTGGAATGGCTAGCAGATGTTAGAAATCACTTTGAAAATGGCATTTTGCCAAGTGTTAGGCTATAAGTTTAGTTTGTCTACACGAATGCCTATAGAAGTAAATTTGTGTAGTGATTTCGTCTATGTTTAAAGCTACAATTTATAAGTTGTGAGAGATATGGAGCAGTCTGTCTTAGATGGTACAATAGCTTGTTTTTCTGGTTTAACTGCATGCTAATCGTTACCCCTTATAAACTGCTAGTCACAAAGTTATCTGAGAATCATTATTGACCACTTATTAGAAGTTTGCTGCGTGGTTGCGCCATGTAGAAGAAAACTTGATATTGGCTGCTTGATTTATTTATATTATGTGGATGTTGAATTGCTGCAGGAAGGGTCATCCCTGAAAGCGTAATATACAGCTTCGGAACTGTTCTGCTGGACCTTTTGAGCGGGAAACATATCCCTCCAAGCCATGTATGAGCTTATTGCACATAGTAGCTGATATCATCCTTTCATTATAACATTAGAGCTATTGCAATTTACAAGTACGACTTTAAACATAGTAGTATTGACCTTGTGGTCCGAGTTGTTTGGAGATTTGTATCATTCATAAGAAAGTTTTGAAACAGCCTTGCTTAACATGCCTCCTTAATTGCATGGCTTCAATAGACTTCTGTTAGATGGAGCACGCTTATTGGTCACAGTAGAAGGCTCCCAATAATTTCCAATTGGTGTTTGTTTCTTCAGGCACTGGATTTAATCAGGGGGGAAAATTTGCTGTTGTTGATGGATTCATCCTTGGAGGGACAGTATGCAAATGAAGATGCAGCTGTGTTGGTTGAACTGGCCTCTAAGTGCTTACAGTATGAGGCTAAGGATCGGCCTGTTGTCAAGTATCTTCTTACTGCAGTAGAACCACTCCAGAAGCAGAAAGAGGTTCAGAGCGTCTTAAGCTTGCCTGGGAATTTACTTCTATAGTTCTTCTATAACACAAATGCTTGTGCATAGATGTTCTTAGCAATTTTATTGGATTGATTTTTCCTAGGTTTCATCTCATACGCTGATGGGACTATCAAAAACTCCGGTGCCACTTCCAATTTTGCTTTCACCATTGGGGAAGGCTTGTGTAAGGATGGATCTCTCAGCAGTGCACGAGGTCTTGCTTAAAACAGGATATAGAGATGAAGAAGGAGCGGAAAATGAGGTTTGTTTCACTATCGCCGTTATTTTATATGGAGAGCTTCAGCTGGAAAGTAAATCCATTGTAAATTAGCGAGTCAATGAATAGGGAGCCGACATTGGAGATGTATGATCTAAATCTGTTGCTTCGTTTATTCATATACCTTGGCAACACAAATATCTGTATGATCTAATTTTGCTGCCCTGTTCTTTCTTTTCTCAAAGCTGTCGTTTCAAGAATGGACCCAGCAAGTGCAAGACATGCTGAACACAAAGAAGTTTGGTGATATTGCTTTCAGAGACAAGGATTTTAATAATGCTATCGATAACTACACAAAGGTAGCCTTTTCATTATTTGGATTGCATGGTGAAGACCGAGAATGCAATGATCTCTGATTGTTTGGTTGGGGATATATATGCCCATTTCCTATTTATGCAGCTGGTGTCGTTGATGTCGGTTCCTTCAGGAACCGTGTTTGTGAGGCGAGCATTGTCCTACTTAATGGTAGAACAAGCAGAACTCGCGCTGAGAGATGCAATGCAGGCACAAGTCTGCTTGCCCGAGTGGCCAACAGCGTTCTACATGCAAGCGCTCGCGCTGTCAAAGCTCGGCATGGAGAGTGACGCTCAGGACATGCTGAATGACGGAGCCAACTTTGAAGCGAAGAAGCAAAATAGCTGGCGCCATCCGAGTTAAGATCACGGTTTCGCTGATCGCAACTAGATGTCTCTGCGCAATGTAGGCGGCGGAAGAGATAGAAGCATGATCAAGGTCTATTTCCACATGCTTAGGAAAAGAAGAGTTCATTAGGTTAACCCTTGGGAGGGTTTGTAAGTTTCTTTTTGGCAGTCTACCCTGGCTTAGTGTTAGGTAGCAACTAGCAGAAGTTATGTAATGTTGTTGTTGTTGTCAGTCTTTTGGGTTTGTTTTTCCACACCACGATTAAGAGTTGTACAATCAAGAGATCAATGTTGAGTAGACATCAAGTAATGAGACGGCAGAGGAAGGTTCGATTGATAACCTTTGAAATTAGGGACTCCTTTAAGGCTTTATTAGTACTGGAAAGACGAAATGACTAACTAGTGAAGTATTGAAGAATTATAGATTTCAAGGACATTGTCCACATTTGTTCATTTTAACCTCACAATCTACTGTTTATGTAACCTAATTGCATAGATGTGTTACTTGTCCCTGGTAGGTGGCTATAAGGTTACAGTTTCGCGATTAAACCACTAACCGCATCAAATATGCACGGATTGTAGTTAATTGCAAATCGAATAAGAAGGGTTTCATGCGGTAGCGGTTAGTGAGTGATGTTAACAGCTTTGCTGTTGTGATTAAAACTACTTGAATCTAACAAATGACATCAAAAGAAAAACTAGCTCCCTTTCTAACAAGACTCGTTCACTTGCAGTGTCTGCAAACAAGAAAAGAAAAACCCTGCACATGGTGACAAACACAAGCATATGTCTGGCAAATCTGCCGGACTCTTTCATATGAATCATATTCTTCCCTCACCGAACTGGGTTTTCCTTTTGTACATGTGCAATGCCTTTATTTATTCATTAATTACACGTAGTAATAATACTACGACTACGTCTTCCTCAACTCCTACCTCAAAAACGCCTCCTTCGACCTCCACCTCACCAAATTCTCCACCGTCGATGGTTGTGAGAATCGTCGTCGTCAGAGGAATTGCTGTGGAGGGCGTCGATGGTGGCGAAGGTGAAGGAGTATCCGTT